GTCAGGATAACATAGGTTCTTTAATTTTTAGTTTTGCCAATTTATTAATAAGTAAAGAATGTGAGACACTGTCAAAAGCCTTATTTACATCCAAGAAAACTCCTATAGTCGGCCGCTTAGAAAACGACCTCCTCCAGCATTGGTTTAGCATTAGCGCGCAGGTCGTTTTCTAAGCGGCCGAACTATACAACCTTTTCTCCCTCATCATAAATCCTAGAGATTACTGGTAGCAGTGACAATGGTCTATAATTTGACATAGTTGATTCATCTCCTTTCTTGAAAAGAGGCTTAATTTTTGAAATTTTGAGTTTATCTGGAAAAATGCCACTAATGAAAGAGGAATTTATTAAATGTACTAAAGGTTTTATTAAATATTTCTTAACATATTTAACTAAGGGCATTGGGATTTCATAATAGCCGGATGAATGCTTATTATTTAAAGAACTTATTATTTAGTCTATTTCTTTGTCGCTGACAGGTTCACATTTAAAGTAAGTCAAGTCTGGGGAAATGTCGGTTTAGTTGGGAGTTTCATTTAATTTAGGTATCACATCACGATCTACAATGTTAATGAAATAATCATTGAACAAATTGCAAATCTTGTTTGGACTAGAGTAAACATTGTTATCTACTTTAATACTAGATATATTATCTACTTTGCGCGGTTCCCACTTGCTTATTAATTATATTCCACGTTGTTTTAATACTCTTTTTAGCATTGTTAATTTTTCCCTAAGGGTTTTATTTTTTAGTTTAGCATCATTTACAGTATTTGTGTTTTTAAGCAGTCTGCCCTTGGTATAAAGCTGGATGATTTGATCTTTTTCGTGTTTCAAAGTGTCATTATACCAGCGACACTTGTTGTCAATCCTTTCTCTAATTTTGACCACTGGAAAACATTCGTTAAAATATAAAATAATTATATTTATAAATACATCATCTTTCTGTTCATATTTTAAAGACTCAACTTGTACTTACTGTCATGTTCTATTTCTGTCATGTTCTCCTCGTTCTCTGCTCCCCTTCCAAATCTGACAAGTTTTGTTTTGTTGTCATTTATTTTCAGGCCCACTACTCTTGTTTCTCTTAGGCCTATGAGGATTTCAAACATTTCCTGGAGCTCTTCTCTGGTCTCTGCAAGCAGTACTACGTCATCTGCAAAGGCGAGCACGCTTACCTTCCAATTCTTATGCCATATTCTGTATTCTTCAGCTCTTTCAAGAGCTATATTGAAGAGTGTAGGTGAAATTATATATCCCTGCCTAACTCCTGTTTTTATGTCAAAGGATGTTGAGTAGTAATTTTATATTTTAACCTTGCTCTTAGAGCCATTAACACTTAAAGTAGCAAATTTTATTAGTTTATTTGGGATTCCAAAACTTTTCATTCTATACCAAATTTTTTCCCTATGAATACTATCACGCTTTGCTATAAAATCGATAAATAGGCCATAGAAAGATTTACCAAAATCCCAATATTTAGCTATTGCCTCCGAATGTATATTTGATCTGTTGTGGACCTGCCCCTTTGAAAACCAGCTTAGTGCTCTTCAATTATTTCCTCTGTGTATTCATCAAGTCTCTTCTTGAGTATATTAGATATTACCTTATAGGAAGTATTTAGTAATGATATTCCTCGGTAGTTATTTGGCTCCCATTTATCACCCTTGAAAAGAGATAAATTTATACCTTAAAAAGTTACACTATATATATTTTAATTAATACTTTGACCAGGTAGAGTAATTCAACTTATGTATAAAGTATCGAGATATTGTCTGAGAATAGGGGAATACAACGGTCTGGTACGGCCGTCGCCAATAACTTTATTTATGGCCGGAGTGTGCGTCTGTCTGTCTGTCCTTCACTTTTCCTCTATCATGCAACATGAATAGTCTCGGTTGTCTACGCCAACTATCGTCGTATAAAACCATTCATCTTCATTTCATTTTCATTGTGTACTTTTACTAATACACAGGGCTTTATTTTTGACGGAACAACCTAAATAATCTTGGTTGTCAACGCCAACTAACTTTCTATAAAACTATTCAACAAGGTTGATGTAGGACTACTTTTAATAAAATATACAGGACTTAATATTTCTACTGAATAATGGTAATGGAATTCATCACTGTACAAATATTTAGTATTGGGCTGACGGACTGTACATTTATAGAGTTTTGTAGTTTTGTCCATTTTTACCCTATTTCTAAGGGTGTTAGCCTCCATTCATTGTTTTTGAATCTTCAAAGATATTGTTACAAACAAATACTTAACATGAGCCATTTTCGCTAGGAGGTAGTGGAAAGAGTTGAAGATAGAGAGGGGTCTTTGAGAGGTTTTAATTGTTGTCCCATAATTTCTAGAAACCATACAACAATATACAATTCCGTATTCCATCCTTACCACATTGTACTGCTAATGACCAAACAGTCACAGATTATCCTCTTTAGTAATCAATTGGCAATTAAATTGCTCTACTACCCCTTCCTCTTGCAGCAAACCTGCAAATAAAGAGAATTCCTAGTTGCTTTGGCGGATTTAAAAAAATAAAACGGTTGTTAAAAAGAACTCCTTCTTGAGATCAGTAAGTTAAAATAAGGCAGTAAGGCATTGAACAACTTTCTCTACATGCTTGTGCTCTGCAGATTTTCTTATTATCTTATTATCTATCGAAAAAAGTAAGATGAAATACTTTAAGCAATATTAAAATTGAAACCTTAACCTGATGATGATCACCAGATGCCATTTGTCATTTAGCTATAAATTAATTATGCTATTTAACAAAAGGTTGACGTTAGATTGTATCATGATGTATCATCATGACCAGGTTTTGGACCGGTCCCTTACCAAATCCCCTAAACATTTCACTGGCTTGGAAAAACAAAATAAAAACATGCAAATAACCTATCAGAATTTACCTTAAATCAAAAGGCTAGATGAGATACCTAGTAGATAGGTGTGAAATATTTTTCTGCTTGTATGAGCCATTTCATGGGTATGTGATGCGCATATGTAGGGAATAAAGGGGAGTACCTTTTGAAAGGATTAAGGAAAAGCTATGCTCAAGAGTGATTGGTGGTTGAGCCTATTTGAGAAATAGAAGTGGACCGGGCTCTGCAAAGGGTTTGAATACAATTTTGTATTTACCTGACTGAACGGAGTATACAATTTGGATGAAATTTACCTCGTTGCAACTAATAGAACAGTAAGAAACCCTTTGCAGCAAACCTGCAGACAAATTTCCATTTGCATGATTGAATTTTTACATTTAAATAACATTAGGTATTATGAGTACCTAGGTTTTATGCTACAGGGAGGATAATAAAGTGTGTAGTTTAGTAAAATATAATAGCTTATTAAAAAATGAATAAATTTGCCAAGTTTGATCAAAATGTATTTATAAACAAGCAAACTACAAAAGCTGACTTATTCTCCATAAAAATAACCTGGCAATTATAAATTAATTTTTTTCTCCGTAACCAATTATTGTGCAAAACCACTTCAATATACAACTTTTTTGACTCTTCAAAATGATTCAGAGAGAAATATTATATTTATTATATATAGTACTATATACTACTATATATTTACTATTTACTATATACTATATTTATTTTGGTACCTACATATTAAATTACATTTTTGAAAACTAAGTACAGTACCCAATTAAAATTCATCTTGTTAGACAACGACTAGTTTCAACAGTCATGTTGTTTTGTGACTAATTTCAAGGTAGGAGACAAAATTAAATATAATATCATCAGATGTACGTCCCTGTTCTGGAGGGGGGGGCATATTGGGGATGACCGTGAAATATTACCCCACGTTACAAAATTTGACCCGTTACAGTTTCTATCTTAACAAATCCATACTATTATAAAGAAGATGTTGTTTTTGTCTGTCTGTGTGTAGGGTATGGATCATAAACATCAGTACAAACCATTCAAAATGTTAATTGAATATACATTTAAAATCTATCATTGATTTTGTATCCTAGGTAGCCTAGCCTAAATAAGTGTTCACGGTATGAGTTAACAAAAGCGTAATATTATCAAGTTAAGTAATGCAGTTTTATTTTGTTTCTAAATTAAATGGTAAGTTAGGGTTGAAACCATTTTTTAAGGCATTTTCAAAGAACCAACATTGTCTCTTTTTTATACTGACCCCGTTGCAAGGCATGGGTATAGCCGCTAGTATTACGATAAACATTTTTGCTAAATAAAAATCATCTAACTTCATTAATATTACCTATAGGTTTTGACGAAATTAAATTTCTTCTCTTTTAAATGGTTTGTAAGATAATAATTGAAATAAGTCTTATTGAAATAAGACAATTATTTATTCTCACTAATTTATATCTGCACAAGAGGTAAAATTCCGGGGGTAAAAATCCGGGCCGTACATCTACAGTTGCCTAATCGCTAATTATATAATGGACAGGGGGTACAATTCCGGCTTTTATTGCTAATCTAATTTATCACGCTATACTCCCAAATCAGCGGGGGTAAAATTCCGCTCGCGAACAAACTTTAGAGCGCTCAGGTAACTACGTCATAGTGACGTCAGCTTTGCCTGGGGGTAAAATTCCTGGAGGATAAAATTCTGGTGACCCATTTCTGGTGTCTGGGGACATCAAAACTAAAGAACATAAATCGATCCCGGGTCCAGGTCAAACTGTTAGCTTCAAAACACGAATAATACAATAGAAATTTATAATTATATGAATTCGTTCATAATAGCTATTTTTTCTTAGAGGTTTTCAGTGATTTAACTAGTATTAATTATTAGTGACTAAAAATTTAGTTGACGCGTACACCACCGTTTAGAATAAGCCATAACGTGTTTTTTGTGATGTAGTATAATTAATCACTGGTACTCAATTGAAATTACATAATTATTAACTAACAAATAGTACTTAATAAATATTAGTAATAACTATTCCTCAACAAAATTTGGTGAATCAGAAACGAAAGTGTGGCGAGAGAAAGAGAGAGAGGGCGATAGTAAGTTGCACTTTGGCCCGAGATATTGTTTATAAGGAGACGCGCGGCGCGGCGCAAGCTTTCAGTCTAGTAGTGGTACAATGCCCGCGTGGGCCAGTGATAGTGTCAACAAGATCTGGGGTTCGTCCCCGGGCAACGGCAGCGATGGAACCACCGGGTCTCCGCCCTCGCCGGCGTCCCCTGGGTCACCTCTGTGTGGCTCTCCCCCCCTGTTACACCGACACTCCTCCGGCTACCTGTCAGAGGGAAGGTCAACCCCCTCGCCACCTCCCGAGCTGTCAGAGGACTCGTGGATAAACTACATCCTCCTCCACTTCATCCCCAACCTGGTCGGTGCCGTGTTCTACCTAGTATGGACCCAGGTGATCCTGTTCGGACCCACGCTGTGGTTCTCGGCGTGGCTGTGGTGTCTCGGAAAGTTGATTTTGATGCCTCTCAACATGACCAAGTGGGTGCTGACGGTGCTGACCACACCGGCGTCCGAGAGACTGCGGAGGAAGAGGACTGTTCTGATCAGCGGAGGAAGTACGATACAGACGATCCATCTGGCGAGGAACTTTCACTCCGCGGGAGCCAGGGTCGTGGTGTTCGATGTGCAAGGAAGTTTTGGACTGGCGAGATTTTCAACAGCCGTGGATAAATACTACACAGTTCCGTCTCCCTTTGGAGATAGAGCCGATAAGTACGTGGCCGCTGTGAAGAGGATAGTGGAAGAGGAGAGAGCCGTGTATTACATCCCTGTCAGCTCTAGTTCTACAGCTTACCACGACGCTTTAGTGAAGCCGCACGTAGAGCTGATGGGCTGCACGTGCTTCTGTCCCGGACTGAAGGAGGTTTGTGTTTTGGACGACGTGTTCGAAGTGATGAGGAGGTGTCACGCCGAAGGTATGGCTACGCCGTTACACTACCCGATCACCAGCACCGACGATGTGTACAGACTGTACGAGAAAGGGACGTTGTGTAGTGGAAGACACGTTATGATCAACGTAGGTCCGCTAGGTTGTCGGGACAGAGTGAGGATTGTGTTGCCACAGAAGGTCCAGGACTTCAAGATGAGACACGAGGTTAGTCAGCAGAGACCTTGGGTGATCGTCAGAGACTATCCCGGTGACCACTTTGTAACGTGTACCACTGTCAAAGATTCTGCGGTGGTCGCTAATGTGACGTGTAAGGTGGACGCGGTCCAGGGAGGATTGACTCCGGTCAACCACCACGAGATCAATCTCTGGATCAAACAGTTCTTCGCCAAGTTGAAATTCTTGCGACCTCTCACCGGTCACATAAGTTTCCGATTTGTCGTGTCTTCGGCGAGTGGAAGCATAGTACCTCTAGGGTGCAAGGTGGGAGTCTCTATGCCGTACATATGTCATACGAGTGTCCACCCCAGGATGATATGGAAGCCTTGCCGTCACTTCAACCCTCAGTCGCCTGGACCGCTTATCAGCGAAGTGGGCCGCTACTGGATGCACCAGGTTGTCATGGACACTTTGAGGAGTCCCGGGCTCAACTCATTCAGGAGGTTCCTCAGCACGCTGCTCAACAAGCAGGAGGCGTTGTTCGTCTACTGGGATCCACTACCGTACTTCGCCTACTACCACATCCAGCTGCCCATCACCAACATCTGTAGATTCCTGCGCGGCCACAGGACGATCGACAATGGCGGCCACGGCTTCAGGAGGGTCGCAGGAGTCCGGTAACTCTTAGTCTTGTATACGTTAGTTGTAGATCGGCTCGGGTTGCATTTAATGATGTTCGTCATTTGCATTTAAGGTATTATCTATATTACCTATGAGTTGATGGACGTTCCTAAGTGCTAATCTTAGTTCGTTGTAACGTACTGTTGATGAGTGAATTTTTACACCATTTTAACACTTTCCACACTCTTATATTTGGTATTATAAACATTTCCGAATCAAAATTATTTACGAGCAATCCTAATGGCTTCAATCCAACCTAATATCATTATTCATTAAATTTCTTTAATTTATTGCATTCATCTTTTCTTTTAACGTCCAAAACACATTTTCACCATCGACGGTATGTTATAACGAAGCCGATAATATAGGTGATATAGTTATTACTCTTTGTAAATTTGATGTTATAATGTGAGCAATCACGTTGTTGACGAGTGCATTGTATCAGTGCCGGGCTGTTGAACCAAGGAAGTGAAGAGCCCAGGGGCCAGTGCAAACAAACAGATGATACCACAATCATTTGTTAATTAAGCAATCAATTGGTCAATCTCTTGACAGAGCGGCCATGCGTTGGGAGCGTGGTGCGAAATGTATGTGAAAACTGAAGGAAAAGTTTGGAATATGTGTCTTCTGAACAGCGCCCTCTGTAGTGTTCCATTCAAAACATTCTTCTTTTTATTAGTTGTCAATGTAGATTTTATAAAATCCCTCTTACGAACTGTTTTGTAAAAATACTGCGGAATTATCTAACATATTACTCTCATTAAGCTATTTATTAGTGTTAAAGACATAATTCATTCAAGAAGATATTTGGCTGATATTGAAATTGCTACTTGCCTATGCACTTGATATAGTTTAATTTTGTTTGTATCATTGTGGTTTTACCTGTTTTATTAGAAAGTCGTCTATATTTTCTCGTTTGTTTTCTTTATTTTCTAATAAAATATACACTACAGCTTTGCGTGACTAGTAATATATACAACAACTGATTTAGACTGCTCATTTCTAAGGAAAACTTACGATGATTTAAATACTTAGATGTAATATCGAAATGTATCTAGATTATCATTATTAGTAACGCGCCTTCTACTAAACGAATAGCCTAAATAATTGAATAAATTAGTTCCAGCGGACCGAACACTGCTCGTGATGTTTAATTTGTACGTAAAACAATATGCAATAAAACAAATCATATAATAATATTTTATCATGCTCACGTATTGGTGCTATTTCCGCAAATTTTTTGCACGACCCTGTCGTCTCAAGTCATTGAAAAAAACATTAGTCTAAATAAACTCGCAATACTGTACTGAGTAAAAAATACCAAAATAAAAATTCTGCATTTAAAAATAGTACTATTACAGCATTGTCATTTTTATTAAAGCTGAGCCATTGTATACGATGTTATATCAGTTCATCATATATTTGATAGTTTATGTGCTATATTTGACATCGGGTTTCCTCCACCAATTAATTGACTTTAATTAATTTAATTGCTGTAAGACGCATCGTTCATGTTTGTGCTAGGCCTGAGAAAGTATTATTTTTATTCAAAACCATTGAATTCCATTGATGAATCCACTGTTAGAAATAAGTTAAAGTGTTAACATAAAAATGGCAAAATAGTTATTAAAAACTGCAAATAAACTCTCCGAAAATTTTTTAAGTCAATTTTCTGCTGTAAATTTTGTTTCAAAAGCTGAACTTAGGGGTTCGCCGACAAAAAATATCATAGCATTTACTTTGTGTTCTGGAGTCTAGAACAGAGTATATTTATATAAGTGTGAATAGGTTAGTTTTAATAATGAATCACATTTAAAATATGTCTAAATAAAACAATCATGTCAAAATTATCTAGTTACAAAAATTATTAAATACAAAATTATTGTCAAAAGTTACAGAAAATATCGTCCTTTCGTGTTTCCCTCAATACTCTTTGTTCAGCATTAGTTAATTATCTTTTACGGTAAAATATTCTACGATTTTGAACAGTCGTAGTTATCCCATTGCTCTATAACACGCCCCAAGCTTATTAAATAACCAATGCTAAATGATATTTATGGGAATGCCCTTTTATTTTGTACTGTATTTAGTAATTTGCCACTTTACTGTAGATGGTTTGTTATAAGCATATGTTCATTCAATTAATTCATTTTCGTGTTCGTAGAGCTGTCTTGGCTACCTAGCTTTCCATAAGACTAATGTTAAAAATATTAAAATTTAATTTTAAGTTTTTGACGAAAAACGAATTTTCCCAGAACCGTGGGAATATTGTTGGGAAATGAATATTGTTTTTAGCCTGAAACTAAGATATTCCTAACAATTTTTATGAAATCATAGGAACTGTTTTTGAAATCATTGTCCGCAAACGTTCAAATCAAAAATTATTTTTGTAAATGAACACAACAAACATATTTGTCTGTAATAAGTTACAGTATAGATTAATGAAAAACGAATTTTTCCAGAACAGTGGCTAGCATGGATATTGTTTTTAGCCTGAAACTTAAGATATTCCTAAAAATTTGGATGAAATCATGAAATAATTGTGCTCAAACGTTACTCGTATTACAGTATAGATATTAAAAGAATAACATTCAGGTGATTAAACAATTTACTAACAATTAATAAATCGGTCTACACAGTTATTTTCTATTTTATCAAAATTAAAATTGTGAAGTGCAAATCATTCAATAAAGTATACTTATGAAATACTTCTGAATTGTCCTCATAATATAACGAACGGGATTGATGATGTAACAAGCTTTATTATTTAACCTACAGTACTCTCATAGATAGTATTCACAGTATACTTACACGTCCTACGACGTATTATATTATTGTCGTCTTTATGTTGGGATATAACAGTTTCAGATGAGTTGTCACAGTCAACCAACCGGTGTGATAAATAAATTTTCAATTGCCATTTCTATTTGGACTGTAATGTATTGTACTACAACATTTCTACTCCAATTTTTTTAAATAATTCTAGAGCTACATAACATCTTAACACACATGTTTATTCATAAACAATTTATCACTGTCCAACAATCAACTGTATGAAAATTAAAAAAAATTAACAAAAAAGCTTGTGTTTGCAGAGCAAAAGTTAATGTTGGATGAAATAGTTTATAGGCTGATTGCTATAAATAACCAGCACGAGTCGATTTAGCTGTGCAGTGCATTTTTCTGACATGTAACTGTATTTAAAAGACGTACCCTGATTTCGACAAATAAAATGATCCTGTCAGTAAAACATACCATGTCGTTATATAATATATTATTTTCAATGTGTCGAATTGTTTATCTACATACAATAACATATATTAAATACATTTAATAAAACATTTATTATTTAATAGATTTAATGTATTTCCGTCGATGAAAAATGTAAATGTAAAAGTATTGTTGGCAGAGTAATATCTAATTCATCTAAAACACTATAACACAGCTCTTCGCAAAACTTATGTGAGGTCGGGGTTATCGATGAAAACTTCGTGTCGTGAGTTAATTGGATATGCGACTTACTTAAAAGATTCCAGTCAGTTTGACAAAAGTATATTGCATATTTTTTGCCTAAATTTATTTTTGGCACTCGCTCTTATGTTGGGACTAGGCCAAAGCTAGTGTCAAAAAAGATATCCTTCAGGTTCAAATTAGGAAACTAAAAAAATGTCTTTCTCTCTTAAAGATGTCGTGTTTTTGTAAACACAAAAACGTAAGTATATACAAACATTTATATATTTTAGTGAAACACCCTGCTTTATTTTCCGGCCTCGGTCAACAGCTGACAGACAGGAGGTATTGTTGTCATTCGATCAGCTGATTGTAGCTCGTGTGATAAGTGATAACAGGGTGAGCTTTGACTGTGCCACTGTCAACTGCACGTCGTACTTTGGCTGTTCCGGTCCCTCGTACAATCTTACGTCATCATTGTACAATCAATATTTTGTTCCAGAGGTCACAGAAATTAATATTCTCGGACCTTAGACCATCGGGTTTGTTTACGGTCCAATAATACTTTTGATTGTTTAACGGTCCCAGTTCGGGTTGAGTGCGTGGCTGGCTTGTGATTGATAATTAATTGTTTGACAAAATGGAAAATATTACTGACAATCTTTTCTTTTGAATTTTGCTGTTCTTGAACGATTGCACGAGGTGTTGGGATATTTAACAATATTTTTGCTAACGGAAAACAACAATAGTATATTTACTAGCTAATATAATGTTTATTTTGGTCAAGTAAATATAGCGTATTATAATTTAAATGATTAACAATTTAATTTATTGTTTCTTATGCGACGCTATAATATTATTCCTTTACAGCCTATGAGCAGTTGTTAAAAATATTATTTTTGCTATTAAATTATTAAATTTAAATTCATTAACTGAAATTGAATTATTTATTATCAATTTCAGGATCGTTATTAGCCTAAGGCCTATAAATATACAATGTTTATTTCGATGTAAATTTTTTATTGTTTTGCTTACTCCTCATATGAATCCCAAGCATCAAATTCATTTTCTAAATACATTTATTCAGGAATAGGATGGTTCTTTTACCAAAAAGTATCAAGGCTTTACAAAACTGTGTTTTTCAAAACCTGGACGTTGCCAAAAATATATTTATTAGTTGTTTACGAATAAAAAAATAATTTAGAAAATAAAAAAAATTATTTAAGACTTGTGTCTGCCAACCTTTATATTTATTAAGACAAAAATACATTTTTTGCAATACATTTATTTAAACATTGGTAGTCTTGTAGATATAGTTGAACACTTGAAAATTTGGAATATGATTACATATTTATTAAAGAAACAATATTTTGAAATACGAACCCTAGTTATATTTATCAAATTGGTCTATTAAATGTTTGTGATTTAAAGTGCGAGAGGTCGTTTCTAATATAGGCTATTCATGAAAAGAATATTCTTACGTGTGTCGTAAAAACACCTTTTTTCCGCTACATCAGAAAGTCATGTTCTAATGCTTTGCTTGTTATTGTCGACTTAGTATTATACCACTTTGCACTGGCCCCTCCACAATATGTTGTAAATAGTCAGTTGTAACGAGTAGACTGAGTAGATGTAAGGCTAGATGTTCATATGTTTTATACTATATTATTTATTCTTTATTATTTTATATTTATTTTTTGTGATAGTGGGTGTATGATAGTTGGATGTAATCAAAGGTTGAAATATATTGTTGAGTTTGATAATAAATCTCGTGTTTGATTTTCCCTGTTTTTAATTTGTTATTGAAATCCAATTAATTAATAACTCCTTTTTAAGGTGGTTATTGTAATGATTTGTGTTTCAATGTTTATCTAGAAGATAATACACAAAAACGCAAAAGTTTTGTCTTATAACGCATGAGATTTGATGGTGATATTAAACCAATGCTTTTAGTTGTTCTTATCCTAGGCTTTGTGATATGAGTTTTTAACAGTTACTATGAGTTTTGTATGGAGAAAACATGTTTTTGGTTTATAATTTGACAAATTAATTAAAAAAATTGAGAAAGTTGCTTGAAATCGCAATACGTACCTTTAAAATTGTATCTCATTACAAATATTTGAGTATTGACAATGTGCCTATTAAAAATGCAATTTTTTGTTAAGTTTGCTTTTGAGACAGTGTTGTGTATAATGATGCGACAGGGTGGAGACTTCTGTATTTTTCAGTAAAATACTGGGTAAGCCTATTAAAAGTACGTTTTTTCAGAAAAAGAGCCCCGATTGTGAAAGGAAAAAATAATCAAATGCATATTATGTTTGTATTAAATAGAGCATTACAGTTATGTATTTCCAAGTTGGTTCGGCTCTTTTATCCGACCGATTTTCAAAATTTTGGTCTTAATTAAAGTGTGCACGCACAGATTTGCCATCAAGCATCATCATTCATATCTCTACTGTATTACTCGACAAAAAAAAACATAAATTTGGTTTATTTCGTATTCTTACTTTAATTAAGATGTGTCTCACCAGTTATAATTACATTATCCTTTGTTTTGGTCTAAGAACCTTCAGTGAAATACTAGCTCTCATTTTAGCTGATGTTATTAAGATCGTCGTACCTGAAGAACGATGCTAATTCACGAACTAACTATAATTATAATTATCTTAGAACTTATCTTCAACGATACGTAACACAATTTTTATTTTAGGTATTTTATACGTCTTGGTCTATAAGATCCTACAAGCTCCTAGAAATAAGGCTTTCATTCGAGATATTGATCGTTTGAATTAGTTAGTTGGAGATACAGCAAAGCAGTATTTTGTAATGGTACCTTGTGGATTCTCGATTCTCCGCTAACAGTGTGTAGGGCCCTTTGTTGGTCGACTCTGTGTGTGAATAGCTTGCTGGTTGCTGTTTGCTGTACGAGGACCATTTTTGAACAATGTCAGCTGTAAAACTGTATTAGTCGCTCGAAAACCCTATTTATTAAGATTATTGTGAATATTATCTTGATCCTGGTAACGCCGGGATTTGCTGCTAATATGACATAATGTTTGTATTTGAGAATCCTGAGATTCGAACCCTCGGTTTTTTGTTACAATCAGAGGTGTTCAAACACATTTACATAATTAAAAGTTATATTTTTGGGCATCTTTAGTGATGAAATGTACTATTCTATCGTTGTAGGGACAACGGGTTGTATGCAATCAATACTGGTGGACAACGTAAGAGCACAGACTATAGAATACTATAATGTTTACTCTATTGTCTGTGGTAAAAGATTCAGCCTGTATAAAGTTAACGTAGCTCGGTTTACCTGTTTTCGCATCGTATGAAAAAGAAACGTTACTTAAAATGTATGAACGTTTAATCTTGAATAATGAGTTAACGATTTTTTACCCTAATGTGTTGTACAAATGTGTTTGGTGAAGCATTTTGTAACCGTGACATAAAGCTACGCAGACAATATGAAGACGATTTTTTTTAGTTAAATCGGAACGCATTTCTTTACTCATCAAAAATATAAATTTTTAATTAAACCTGTGAGATTACTAAACGAAAACTGCTCTGGTAAAAGCACGACGCTAAAACATGACAAACCCTAAACCGCAAGTGGTTTACACACAGATTTTGAAATCTGCAAAAACATTTCTTATGTAACCGGTACAAGGAGCGTGAAAAATGCCACAGATAACTGTAATTAATCTGAGTCAGAACATTTCTCTTCTCCGAATTACTGTTGGAAATAGCGAGAGATTTTCGAATATAAAAACAGTTGACTTTTGGAATGGTTGAGCGCGGGGCGTGATCGCACGGTTCAACTAGGGGTTATCTCTTATCAGCAGCTCTGCGCCCTAATCTCAAGGTCATGCCGAAACCTCCGCCGGAGCCCCATGGATGTGCTTGCTTGACAGGAATTTTGCTTCGATTTCAGTCAAGCATTTCCCTTACGGCACTTTGAACCGTAGTGTTGTGAGTCACTTTGTTACGAACTACGTTATAGTCCCTACTCCATACATTACTTCTCTGAAATTAAGTTTTGTATGGTTTAAACACATTACATTTAGTTTCTCGATGGCGAAGGAGTGCTTTTAATATTATTTTTACGAAGATTTTACATAACTTATTAGTAAAACAGAAATTTTGACGCTTTTCAAGTTCTGAGATCAGAAATTTTCTTCAGGTGTTAAGGAACGTTACAAAATCAGTGTACAACTCAGGCAGTGATAGAAAACACAATAACTGAAAATAACACAACTGTACCGACACTCGTGAAACTTAAGATTTATTTATCAGATGGAATATTTTTCGTGTAAATCCAATAAAAAACTCCCTTACAGATTTACCATCCTTATGAGTTAGCTACAGATAACTTAAACGTATGCATCTGTTTATTCAGTAACTTAATATATAGTCAATGCTTAAAGCTACTGCAATAAAACTACGTATTTATAAATTGTTTCTTGTTTTGTGATATTACAACCAAAGACTGCTTACTGTAGGACACTTGCATATTAGCCCTATCAAACTGATATAAATTATAGACTGCACAAGAATGCCATCAATTGATAATTGATTAATTGATTGATTGACTGTATATTTATTAGATTTATTTTAATTGTTAACGAGGTGTTAGCCCGTCCTACGTACGGGAATTCAGTAGTGAGTTAAAACCGTGTACAATTCAATTCAGCTAGTTTACACATATAAGGACAAAGTTTCTTGCAGTTTTAATTTGAAAAATCATCTTTTTAACAAAATTTTATGTGTGACCAAATACAGGGTTATTACAAATGATGTTCATAATTTCAAACATACATAAAATATAGTTTTATTTGTTATACAAAGAAATAAAATGGTTACAACTTTTGAAAAACTCAAAAAGTTTTGACACAGATGCACAGAATTGTAAATGCTAAATAAGGGAACCCCTTGTGGTACGACCGATGTCAATAATGTAGTAAAGCTCTTGCTAGACTTTGAAAAGTGTGTCTTGATCTATTGTTTCGATAGCATTGGTAATCCGTTGCTGGATCTCAAGTATGCTATCTGGTAGTGTGTACGCCTTATCTTTGATGTATCCCCACAAGAAAAAGTACAGGGGGTGATGTCCGGAGATCTTGTAGGCCAGTTCAGGGGTGTGTCATTATTCGGACCACCGAGCTCGTTCCATATCTCAGGCAGCGCATTATTAAGTTCAGCCCTACTACAACTATCATTCAAATGCAGCTTTTCTCTTAAATTTCAAGTGTCACTTGCCAATATCGTGGTTACTAGGAGGATAATCGTTAAACCTGGTTCTAAAGTGTCGTTGCACACTAATAACAGATTGGTTAATGTAATATTCCAACTGACAAAAAGCTATCCTGCCTTCAAATTCAGCCATTACACAACACTTACAACAATTGACTTGACAAACAGCTGATATGCACCCGAACCAATGTAAATGAAACTTAATGAGTTTTTCTTTCCAATGGTACCAACTAAAATAGTCTTGAAACAAATTAACCCAGTAATATTTATAATCAAAATCAGGAACATCATTTGTAATAACCCTGTATGTTTTTATTCCATCATAGGCCTGTACGATATGCATTTTAAATCCGATAATTTTACAATAAAACAGCAATCCTGCAATTTTTACGATGTGAAAAGGGTTGAAGTGCACCGATTCGCACAGACGCACACTGATTGTAAGTAGCCTACAGTAGAGAGAGTAATAGTCAATTGAGAAGTGTATAGACCTAGTCAACGATACCACCTTCCATAGCATACCTCCCTCTTCCATAATTATTATCACCACAATACAACTCAACTACTATACACAATTTCCAGTAGATCTGAATAGAAACGACCTCAAATAAAAGATAGTATCCAATAAAATTCACAGTACACATAATTTAACTTTGGTGTCCTAACATCAAAACTAATCGTCATACCTATCGTTTATATCAATTTCACTGCATTAATTGCTAAACAAATAAGCGTAAACAAAGAAAAGTAAAAACAATAACAGTTTGTTTTGAAACAGCTGTTTGGTTCAAATAACATTCTGGTCACATGTAGCAGGAATATAAAAAGTAAACACGCTACGCTAGTAAAGCTAATGACGTAATTGTCAATGTTTATTATCCATACCGTTATCAGTTCTATCCTTGATTATTACCCACCCTCATTGAATAAATGTACATCGTAATTTCCAATATTAGTTAATTTCAACTACAATATATTCATAGTTGAAATAAAAGTGATATTTTCACGTTTGGGGGCGCTGATATAGGAACAACTGAACACGATTTCATAAATAAAAAGGATGGTTTGTCTAATTGCAGTATCCTAGGTCAATGTTGACGTTGTGTTCAATCTATGTCATCCATCTGTTATCTTTGTATAAATCCCGGCTGAGGTTGTGGTGGTATTAAAATCGTGATTCCTGATTATTCTTGATCTTCTTTTTATGACATCAATATTTCCGGGCCTAATTCAAACAAAGTTAAAGCAGACACACATTAATTGTAAACAAAAAGCTAGGCTACCATGAAGAATTAGAACATGTAAACTTTGTTTTTTTCTAATCTTTCCTTGAAAAGTGGAGTAGTAAAATAATTTGCATTTATCCTTTTTTATTAAGACTCGTGTACAGAGTCTCGATTTGTAGCCCACTGTGGTTTAATTAATTTTGGTTAAAACTGTGGTTTAAACTGTGGTCTAATTATCTCTACTAATCTGACTTATTTCCTATAATCAATGACAAAAATAAAATA